GGGACTACGACCATTTTCCTAATGTCACAACAAGAGACAACGCTCCGTCTGCCCTAAAATCCACTAGAAGAGATGTGATAATATGTGAAGGTGTTATTGCCGCAAGCATCCTCGTTCGTCGCTGCACACTTATCATCTTCTCTTAGAAAACAGGATGTATATTTTTCTGCATCTTTCACATTATTTGACGCCGTTTTAAAAGCTACTTAACCTCTAGGGTTGGTCCTCTTTATTTGTGAATTCCAGCCTGGTTATCTGCATCTCAGTCACCCTTTTATGAGTCAGCTTTTTGCGAGCACTTGGAAAATGGTAATAGTCTTTCTTTCTTTCTTTTTTCTGTTTTGCCCTAGCAGGACGCATCTCATCTCGAACAGATATTTTTACGAATAAAACATAATGGTGGCGGACGTAGACTTGATATTCAGTGCTTGACGGGTGAGTGAAACTCGTGAGTGGGGCCATAGCGCGGCTTACTTAGTACTCTGCCCTTCGCTGCCCGTGGCATCAGCGGACGTCTATCTGGAGAACACCGGAGTAAACTGCAGTCGGTTCGTGCTCCACGCGGTTTTGAACGGCACCAAAAAGGTACACACGGCAAACGTGCGTTTACATTACCTTGTTTTAACCGACGCTCTAAGTTGTTATGAGTGTCCTTTTTTTTAGTACTTATATTTATATACTAGGAGCTTTGTTTGTATTCACCAACGTCTCAACCGAGGCTCGACCTCTTCATAACCAAAGGAAAAAGAATATGGAGCCAAACCTTATTTATTATTTAATTATCACCTTACTGTTACAACTATGTTTTGCTATTGCCTGGCAATATATGGAGGTATAGTAAGATGGACATAAATCAGTTCTTATTCTAGTTTTGGCTAGATGACATGATGACTTCCACAGCTTTGCGATTTAGACAACGGAGAATTTTAGTAGATCGGTCCGATGACTCCGATAACGATACCCGATACACCGCCACCGCCTTTGCGCATGCATCATATTGTTATCGGGGGCATCGGAGGAATCGGAACGATTTACTGAAACTCTCTTTTATCAAGCAACAGCTGCAACGACAAAGCTTTGTTCTATCTTCGAGGTAAATAGTACTTCCACTGCTTCGCTGAAGAAGCTCAATGCAGACCATAAAGCATTCATCAGGAACAATATGGCAGTCCCATCCAGTGCCTCAGTTCAGTGGGTGTTCAGCGTAGCAGTCGACATATTGAGTAAGAAATGACCCAAAATGTCTGGCGAGACTTTCGAGTGCCAGCTGTTGCTCAAAATACTCAGGGTCATTAAATGGAACAGCTTGCAACAATAAGAACTTGAATAACCCCCTTCCCTTTGTTTCTTACTTGAGGACAATAATGTTGAAAGTAACGCCACGAAAGTAACGGATTACTTTTTGGAGTAACGGTCAGTTACTTTTATGCGAGGGTAATTGTAATTGTAATAAATTACAATTCAGCCTTGAGTAATTGTAAATGTAATTCCTTATTATTTTTCAGTAACGTGTACAAGTCTGACCGTAACGATCCGGCCGTGTAGCGGGGCCCCAACTATTATATTTTCAGTATATAAATAAAATGAAACAATATTTTTGGCGCAATGTTGGCGAAAATTCATCACATTTTCGCGAAATGTCGTAGGGTGTATCAGGGTAAGCACTTTGTCGCAGTGCGGCGCAAATGGCGCAGTAGTCACATCACTGCAACATGACGTTTTAGCATATATCCTTCCGATAACTCCGATAACGACACCTTTGCGCATGCTTCGTTTCGTCGTGGGGTACCGTTATCGTAGGTAGCGGGACTATCTACTAAAACTCACATAGTATGACACTGAAACTAATAAAAAAAAAATAAGAATTTTGGTAAGGGGGGTTCGACCCGCGCCCCTGCCCATTTCTACGTGAGTATTGTACCAATGTGTGTTCCTAATGCGTGTTTCACGTTACATACCCCAGGGTGTCTCATCGCCCGGGGTAAATGTCGCATCTACAGCGCGGATACATATTAAACAACCGATTGGTGCTCGACTAAATGCCCGCTGTCTAGACATGCGAAGAACGCAATATACAGGTGGAACCTGAGGAAGAGGAGGACGTCGCAAAACATAGCTCTGGTTGCAATTATTAGTGGGTAGATGCAACGCTAGCTGTCTTTGTCCCTAGTCAATCGTCGGAACGCGTTCGAACGCTGGCGACCGGTATCTGTCGTGCGCGTTCGAACAGCGAGGGAGACAAGGACAGCGTGCTTTGCGTCCCCACAAATCATTCCAACCAGATCTCAGCGTTCCGACGTCCCAGCGCAGTCATCTCCTCCTTCTTTCGTTAGATCGAAACTATATATCCGGAACTTCGGGACCCTTTTAATTGTCTTGACATTTTTGCTTGTTTTGTTTTGTTTCTGTGCCGTTAATTTTTGGTCACAGCTTTTTGAAGCACTTTTATTTTACCGCCTTCGTGGCGAAGAAGTTTCGTCTTGTCTTCCGGAGTCAACGTTTCGAACTTTAGCCGGTCGGAAGCTCCCCCAAGGAGTTGCTTTACGAAGTGAAACTATATATTTCGTCGTATTTTTTTCCCCGACACTACTGAATAATACAAGAAATGTGTTTTCCTCTAGAGACTTTATTTTATATATTCAGCTTTATTGCGCCTTTTTATTTTTGTAGCTTCGGCAAGTTTTTAATCACCAGTAAGATACGCTCCCGATCGTGCCTGCGAAATTACTCGCTACAAGACGTGCCATAATTTCTTAATCGTTCTTATTACTCAACCGTATCGTTATCTGATATTCTTATCAGGGTGAGAAAACCATACATGAAAACATCCAATTGGCGGTCGACGGTTGCATGTAGCAATCCAGAACAAATCATACGTACATTTTTCTCGCAAAAAAAAAAAAAAATATATATAGACAGTTCTTTTTATCATGTACTGGTACCTCTCTCCACTTTTCCTATCATTTTCGCCCTGGAAAGTCTTTATCGCTAGCAGGAAGCGCTGACTATACGTATTCTAAAGGATTCTCATTACCGTATTCTTATCTGATATCGTTATCGGAGTGAGAGGACGACCTACGCCCAACGTCCTATCGGCGGTCTTAGCAACTCGTAACACCTAACTGAATTAATAGCTACAAGTTTTCTGATAGCGATAACTATGTGGAAACAAGCGACTGCTATCTACAGGTTCGTCTTCTCCTAACGTTGGAGGCGGCGGTCGGTGTTTTTCCCCTGTTCTCTGTGTGGTCGGTATTTTTCCAGCGTCGCTCGTCGGCGTGCCACGCTGGAAGCGCGGACGGTGCATACTGCAAATCGCCCCATAAAACGTTTGACGCGCGACCGCGATAACGACGCGAGGGGTTCACGCACACCGCTATACGAATCACGGTATCCCAAGTGTTACACGCGACATTACGTTACGTGTCAGAAAGAATTCGCGAAGACGAGCTGTAACGCGCAATCCAGGATTATGCGTTTGCGATAAGCGCCGCCTCCGGGAATGTGAGCGTCTCGGTTTCGACGTCTTTGTGAGTACAGTCGGGGAGACGTTTGGTTTGTCAGCGAGGAGACTGAGAAGTCTTCTTGTCTACGTGAGGCGTGTGTGCCTTCTCCAACGTGTGAGCTGAATAGTTGGATGGGCCGATTCACTCCAGCTGATTGGTTGCAGCATAGCTGTTCCTGCTGAACGATCCCATCTTTGTCAGACCCGATTTGGTGGGTCAGTCGATTTCCTTGGGCTACGATGTCTCCGCGCATCTTGATGACCGGGCGGTGTGCTTCGCACGATATCACGACCGGTAAGCTTGGGGGAAGAGTTGTTGTGTTGTTTTGACCGATGTGTTTTCAATGCGTCAGCGTGAAAGTGACATACACTTTCCATGTGTCTCGTGTATTTATTAAAAAAAAAAAGTGAATATATACACAGGGTCCCTAATTGTGCTTAACAAATCGAAAAGTCATTTGCTCTCGACGATCGGGCGCCCGAGGTAGACAAGCAGCATTTAAATTACTCCGTAACTATGTAAATCCGAGCGCTATTAACGCAGCGAGCCATTGGGGCCATTGACGTTTCTGGGAAAGCGCTATACCATGTCATTTTGGTTTTGTTCTCTAGGCGTGTGTTACCGTCTATTAATTTATCTAAGCAAGCGCGAAGACTGCGCTTTTACTCTTCGCGTCAGTGTGTATTGCAACTAACTTTGGCTCCGCGCTCGTACTTGATATGGAACGAAGTGTATAGCTACAGATTTTCTGCCGGTGAAATGCACAATAATATTTGAATCTATATAGGCGTCGTCTCAACTTGCTCCTATTTTGATCGTGCGCTGAAACACCACAATGTGCCAGTCTAGTTTATGCCGTGCATATACAGGGTGTTTCACGAAAGGTGGATAAATCCGATAGTCCGAAAACTACGCGTTGCAAAGAAAAAAAAAAAAAAAAAAAGGCTTCCGCCGTTTTGGTTCTGGGCCAGGGGCCCATTTAGGAAAACTATAAAAGTTCAAGATAATTAAGTTCTTAATTATTTTCGCGTAATTAACTTTTTTTAATATTGTGTTTAAGGGCATGGTTTCAATTGGAAAATTGCTCAGCATCATCAAAAGACACTAAATCAACAAACTGCAGAACGATAGAAGGCACGCGAAGCATTTTACGGCTTTCTAAAAAACTGCACAAATTCTACGGGTTTTTAAGTTTCGGTTTGCTATCGGAGCGTATCTCGTCCCCGGCGGCACCGCGCCCCGTGGAGAAATTGTGCATCCAACCTCTGCTGCGCTGTCATCGCGCGACGCAGCAAAGACTTCTCGTCGATGTGTTACATTGTATGCCAATCCAATAACAAAATGCTGCTCGCTAAAAAAAATAAAAAATAAAGTGTTATTACACTTCAACTACATTTGACAGGATGTCTACGACGGCAATTTCTTTTTCTTTGCGTCACGGCAGACGGGTGTTTCACATATGTTCATTGCTCTCATTTTCTTTTTCTGCCGCAGCTGTGTGGACGATCGACCTCGCCGACAGGATGGAGAAGAACGGGTACAAAACCAAAGCGCACGGTAAGCTCCACTTAAAATCACTCGCTTAAGTTACTGGTCGAAAACACTTCCCGCTTGTGAACACTACATGTTGACTCGCTCATGCTCGCAAGAAAAGCGTTGCGTCAGATTCCAGTGTCACAATTTACACAAGCCATAGCCCATATGCTCATAGGGTTTGAGAGACGTGATGATGTCAAAGGGTCGGATGACATTTTCTCGTGACGCAATAACGTAACGTGCGTGTGATGCCACGTGACATTTTGCCTGTATGAGCTGGGAACACACAAAACATGTGCCCATGCATCTCATTTGCCACATATTCTGAGCGTCTTGAAGGTTATCAATTATAATCGCGACACGGGGATTTTTTTTTTATTGTCACTACTTTGGGGTGACCCTTTCGCAGGTCTTCTGTGGGTGAGTGAGTGGGTGAGTGAATGGGTGAGTGAGTGAGTGAGTGAGTGAGTGGGTGAATGGGTGAGTGAGTGAGTGGGTGGGTGAGGGTGTGAGGGTGAGTGAGTGGGTGAGGGTGTGAGGGTGAGTGAGTGGGTGAGACGGTGAGAGTGAGAAAGGCATGGCGCGCACGTGTTATTTTACATAGAAAGTGTTTGGGACTAAAATTTTATTTAAAAAAAGCCCAACAGGTGTAACGCAAGCGTGTACCACATAATTTCCCTATTACATATGATTTACTTGGAAAACCTGAATTGATGCGTAATCATACATAAATTAAATTCTCCTCTAAATTTTGGGATGCACAGATCGCAGCTCGAAACGCGCTGCATATTCTGTCTCTCGCGACTTCAACCGTACGATTAGAGTGTATTAATTTTAAATGTGATAGCATTTCTTTCTGTAACCTCCCCCGGAATCTATTATTCTGTAACACGAAACGCTTGCACGGGGGAGGGATAAGTGCATAAACTTAGAACGAGGAACGTAATTCCGAACGTTCCCCGAAGAGAATCAAACATGGGGACATGAAGATTCTGAACCCGATGCTCAACCACTGTGCCAAGTGACTTAGAAGCGATAGCTATTATTTGCCGTTCTCGCAAGAGGAAGGAGCTAACTGGAAAAAAAAAAAAAAAAAAAAAAGGCACCTGAACAGAAGCGGCGATGCGCCCCGCCTTTTTTTAAATAAAAATCTACAGTCATAAGATATGAGAAGGCCCATCATGCTTATTTGGAGCACCTGCCAGCCATTGGGAACGTCCGAACTATAACTGCTGGAACACCCAAGTTCAGGTTCCGGACAAATCGAGAGGTAATGTGAATTGTGGAGACCACAGTCACAGCCAAAGGACAAATGGAGTGCTTTCGGGCACATTGTTCACCACTGTACGGACATTTAAAGCTTAGTTACCCGGTTAGGGTTCGTTGCAATTTTATCAGCCATACACGTATTGCCTTCCTAAAGGACAAGCGACGCCATCGTATTTCGACGTAGTCTGCTGCGAAGCACCGCAGAAACACAGCCACGTTTTCTTTACCGTACTGTTTTCGTGTTGCAGCGCCCCCGGACGGGGACTGCGGGGACCCCTGCAGCCCCGAGTCGCCCCTGTCTCCCCTAGCGGCGGCGTCCGGCGGCGGCTCCTCGTCCGAGCTGTCCGGCGCCACGCAGCTGTACCCGATGCGCTTCGTGCAGCTGGCCCTGTTCTGCCTGTACTCGCTGTCCAACGCCTTCCAGTGGATCGAGTACTCGATCGTCGCCAACCTGGTGGCGCGCTACTATGCCGTCGACGAGGCGTCCGTCAACTGGACGGCCATAGTGTACATGGTCACCTACGTGCCGCTCATCTTCCCGGCCGCCTGGCTGCTCGACCGACGGGGCCTGCGCTTCGTCATTATACTCGGCGCCCTGGGCACCTGCGCCGGATCCTGGGTCAAAGTAGGCACCGCCAACGTTCGATCGTGCCGCAGGCTTTGCCTTTGGGTGCACACGACGCTTCGCCCCACATGCGAACGCGGGTGCCCTTTTTGACCTGCCGTGTCTGACGGCGACGCGGAACCGTTTTCGAGCGCTCTCTTATACTTAGAGAAATTGAGTGAGAGGAGGAGATGAGAGAGCATTGGGAGCGTCAGAGCACTGAGCTCTGATTGGATCGATTAGGGGGTAGACGCAAAGGCTAGCTGCCCTTGACCCACCGTCTCCCTCCGATCGGAGCGAACAGGAGCATCAACGCGGGCTTTTGGCATTTCATTGCGTTCGATCAGTGAGCAGACACAAAGGTAGCTAGCCTTTCCGTCTTCCCCTTAATCCTTCCAACCCGAGCTGGCGTCTCCCCCTCTTCCTCAATTTCTCTGCCGGCAACGCACCGCGTTTTCGGCAATGCACCGCATGTGTGGCAACGCATTGCGTTCGCTGCGACACTTTGCCATTTATTGCTCAAGCGCGTAGCCCGTCATGCACAACTTTGGTGGTGCTTGTATACGCAATAAAGTTCACCCAGCGATTTAGGTCAAGGTCACTGTACTTGCTCACAGCGACGAGGATTCGTGTTCAGTCAGTAAGGACTCCGGGCGGAGACTCGTGTTCAATCAAGGACGACACGAATTCCAGCCGAACTCTCACGCAGCACTCGTGTCCAAACGGTGCAACGCGTTTGTCTCCAATAGGTGAGGCAGATGGCAAAGCACCAGGGCCTTGTTTCCTAGGAAGTGTGGTTTGTCACCGCCGCGTCGTAATGTTTTAAAGTGACCGCATAAATCAGCTTGATAACGAATCGCGCTACGATTCACCGCAGAAATGCTCGAAGGTGCTGGAAGCATCGCACCAAAATTTCAAAGAACAAACTTATTAAAATAAAAAAGTAAAACACACACAAAAAAACAGGTTCTTTTGGTTGTCTGCTAACCACGCACATTGTGGTATTAGCCGCCCGGTTGCACCGAAAGCTGACTAAATGTAACTGAACCATTGGTTTTGTTTGTTTTGTGTTCATCTAATCTGTTTTATTGGGAACGAAAAAGAAATAATGCACTGACCATTATTGCGCCGAAAAAGCGCGCACCGTTTGATTCGCAAAGGTTGTATGCTTTTGGCGCGACCGGGTGGCTGCTGGGCTGCCGTAAGCCGTAGCAGACTGGCCTTAGTAAGCCTCCGGGTTCGCTGCCGCCATCTCTCGGTTGTTACTCCAGTCAGTGGGTGCGCAGTTAACAAACTAATGCTGCTGCTGCTGCAAAAATAAAAATAAAAAAAGGCATGTTAGTTTTATATTTCTTAACTTTTCTTAGGTAAGTTTGTGTTTTGAAAATTTTATGCATGCTTGCACCACCTTCAGGTGCCTAAGTGGTAGATCGTAGCGCGATACGTTACCAAGCCGATTTATGCGCTCACTTTAAAGGCTTCACCCGGGTTGGGGACACCCCTCTATAACTTTCCAGCGCTCATCAGCCAAAGCGAAAATGCCGAGTCACGGGGATTCGGACGCACGTGCTTCCTCTGATAGTTTGCAAAAGAGAGGTCCTGTGCATGCTCAGATAACGTTCCACAGTCGAGTAGACAAAGATGGCAGGCAGCTCGCAGAAGGCGAATATTGGAATGCTCTTTCTGAGGCGCACGTCGCGCTGACCTCATATAACTCTTGTTGGCTACTGATGTTCCTGATTGGTCGGAGGAGCTGTTTGTTTGACGCCGTGACTGGTACGTGGCGATGTTGGTTTGGCGCATTTTAAACTTGTACCCGACTGCGGTACACTCCATATTCGAGAGCTAAGCTAACCGGGCGGTTGAAACTACGTGTACCTTGTACCAGTCAACCGTCAGCCTTGCACCACGTGATCAGGTTCTCACGCCGAAAAGAAAAGGGGGGGGGGGGGGGAGGGTCATGCGATAACAGACAGACCATTGATATGTCCGCAGAGCACGTGTAGCTTCCCCCGGCCTCTCAGGTGTCACGGATCGGCTTTTGGCTGCGTACGTTGAATTTGACAGAGTGGATCTGCGCCGCTGATCCAAAACAACCGATTGAAGGCGGCGGTGTTGATCCGGGTAGCCAGAAGCCGCGCGGTCCAAAAGAACAAGTGGAAAGCTTTCGAAAAGTTGCGCTGGTTGTTAGCTCCGTTGAGTGCGCTTCCCACAGCGCACTGCTGTGCTGCGGGAAAGCGACATTTGCGGAGCGGTCGTTCCGCAAGGAATGAAGTTCGCGCAGTTCGCGCTACTCCTTGGAGGTATGCTCGTGAACACCTTTCGTGGCTGTGTAAAAGGCATGGGAGCGCGTGCATGAACGCCGATTAAAGCTGCGCACGCTCACTCCTCTCGTCGTAAATGCCGCTTAAAGTTGTCCACGGCTATAGCACCGGATGCCGCGTGTTGAACCGCGCGAGCATGCTTATTTCATTATGCGTGACCACCGATTGACGGCTGCCATCGTCCGTTTTCTTCCGGTGTTTGGAAAACTTGCACTAGAGGCTTTTGTGTGTAAGAGCTATAACAATGAAACTACTTTCCAATGAATGGAGAGGTTGTACGACTTTGCATATGTTCTGCAAGTAGCGGTTTTCTTGGTTTACTGCTTTCCCCGGCTGCAGCTGTGTATGCAGGGAAAATGACTCGTTCGCAGCGGAGAGGCGGGCGCAGGCGTCGGGCATTTACAAAAAAGGGGAACAGAATGTGATTGTGTTAATGTAACAGTTCTGCTTCCCATTCACAAATAAAACATAGGGTCTGATGTCGCATATTCATTTTTTGTTATTGTTTAGGAAATTTTTTTTTTCTAATAAGGCTTAAATATTTTTCCGTGACTGTGCAGGTGCTGAGCGTTCATCCGGATCGGTTTACGTTGTGCCTGGTCGGGCAGACCATAGTGGCTGGCTCACAGATCTTCATCCTCAGTATCCCACCCAGACTGGCGGCTGTCTGGTTCAGCGCTGAGGAAGTGTCCCGCGCATGCGCCGTCGGCGTCTTCGGAAACCAGGTGCCGGTCGTTGTCCGCTTGGCGGCACCGCATTTCCTTTGCTCTAGAGGCTGGTTCACATGTTCGAGTTACACCGAGACCGAGTGCATTGGGATTTCTTGTAACCGCTTAACATACTGGCACATCGGCACCATCTGTTGGGTGGACGTGGAGCATTTCTTGCACAGATATAATTTTTCATAATTGTTTACGCATAGTTTTTTTACCGTGGGCTCGTTATAATTCCATCATTGTTACGAGTAGGATTCCGTGTTCTTGAATAAATCCGTAGAACTTGGGAAAACACCCGCCAGTAAAATTCTTGTCGATTCGAATTTGTTCGACAAACTTGTAATTTTGGTGTGCCAAAGCAAAAAAAAAAAAAAAATGAAAGCCGTTTACAACTCCCTGTAACGCCGAATTTGAGCGCAGCTCTTGAGGAGGAGGAGGGAAGGGTACTGGGGGATCAGTTGACCTCGGAAGGGGGGGGTCACGTGACCTGGAGACCATGTGACCTCGGGGGAAGGGGTCACGTGACCTGGGGGGTCACGTGACGATGACATCATCAGTGGTGATGACGATGACGATGCAGATGCCGATTATGTCATTGGCATCCGCATCGCCATCATCATCATGACTGATGACGTCATCAGTGATGTCACTGATGACGTCATCGGCATCGTCATCGTCATCATCACTGATGACGTCATTGTCACGTGACCCCCCCCTATGTCCTCCCGAAGGAACCCGAGGTCCTCCCGAGGTCCTCCCGAGGTCCTCCCGAAGGAGCCCGAGGTCCTCCCAAAGGAGCCCGAGGTCCTTCCGAGATCCTCCCGAAGGAACCCGAGGTCCTTCCGAGGTCCTCCCGAAGGAACCCGAGGTCCTCCCGAGGTCCTCCCGAGGTCCTCCCGAAGGAACCCGAGGTCCTCCCGAGGTCCTCCCGAAGGAACCCGAGGTGCTTCCGAGGTCCTCCCGAAGGAACCCGAGGTCCTGGGGGGGTCACGTGACGATGACGTCATCAGTGATGATGACGATGACGATGCGGATGCTGATGAAGTCATTGGCATCCGCTTCGCCATCGTCATCGTCACTGATGACGTCATCAGTGACGTCACGGATGACGTCATCGGCATCCGCATCGTCATCGTCACTGATGACGTCATCGTCACGTGACCCCCCTAGGTCCTCCCGAAGGAACCCGAGGTCCTCCCGAGGTCCTCCCGAAGGAGCCCGAGGTCCTCCCGAGGCCCTCCCGAAGGAACCCGAGGTCCTTCCGAGGTCCTCCCGAAGGAACCGAGGTCCTTCCGAAGGACCTCGGGTTCCTTCGGGAGGACCTCGGGAGGACCTCGGGTTCCTTCGGGAAAATTTACCCATAATGCACCGTGCAGTTACGCCGACGGCGACGCCGACGCCGCTTAAGCTGGAAACGGGCGCCTAAGAGCTGCGTTTTAAAAAGGAGGAAAAAAGAATATATTCTACAATAAACTTTGGTCAGTGCACAGGTTCAATGGTTCCGAGAATGCCACCCCAGCCTCCTTTCAAATTTAGGATCATTGACCAGAAAGGTCTTGCCATTTACCTCGTCGGGGTTCGTCCAGAAGCCAATACAATGGGTCATTCTACTTCCGGGACAGGACAAAAGCCTCCATTTTGATTTCCACTTTGAATTAAACTATTTGTGCTTCTTAGAGGGAGGAGGGGCTGTGTTTTAGTAACAGTGAAAGCTATGAACTATAGAGATTTTTTTCAGGGGGAGGGTGGGCAGTTTAAACTTCTATATTACACCCTCTACCACTCTACCTTGCACAGTTGTGGTAGAATAGGATGGTATAAAAACTAGCTTCTCGCAACCATACTTCATTTCAGCTCAAGTCCGGATGCAGCCAACGCTACAAGGTAATAAGACCAATCAAGCAGTGTCAAAGCGCTAGTCGCTAGGCCTTTTTCATTTATGGGTTTTTCAGCGATGAACGTACAGAAACATGACTAGCACCATGATGGTGCACTTTTGACGCTGTCTGATTGGTCCCATCAGCTCGTAGCGTCGGCTGCATCTGGACTTCAGGAGAAACGAAGTATACCTCCCGAAGTTTGGGGATTTTGAGGTATCGACATTTCTTGAAGCAACGCATGTTTACAAGTTTTGTCGTGGGACAGATTAGCATTGCAAGTGGAGAGAGCGTCAACATCAAGTCCAGCTAAAGAAATATTATTCGATACAAGTGCTTTCCCTTGAATTTAGCAAACGTTTCCGCCCCAATATTATTTATTTTTATTTTTGAAAATTGGGAAACACAGCAAACATAAACTTAGAATTTCGGAAAATTAAAAATCTAACAAAATAAAACTAAAAAAAAAAAAAAAAATGAAAAATGGAAAAACTCTTTTTTGAGCTCTATGAAAAATAAACTAAAAAAAAAGAAAGCCGTTTACAACTCCCTGTAACGCCGAATTAGAGCGCAGCTCTTGAGGAGGAGGGAAGGGTGCTGAGGGGGAAAGTATACCTCTCCTTATACCCTTCCTCCATCCTCCTCATTTCTCCATCCTGCCTGCTATTTATCCTTCCCTCCCCCTTCCTCCTCCTCCTGCCCTCCTCATCCTTCAATCCCCCATGGCCCCCCTAAGGTCACGTGGCCCCGTGAGGTCACGTGACCCCCGTGACGTCACGGGGGGTCACGTGACCTCAGGGGGCGGGTGGGTGGGGAGTCACGTGACCTCAAGGTTACGCCGACACCGACGGCAACGCTGCTCAAGCGGGAAATGGGCACCTAAGAGCTGCGCTCTAAAACAAACGGAAGCCTAGTTATAATTGACTGTTTCTGATCTCTAATGTATAAATGTGATGTCGCAAATACCGCAAAACCTTCAGTTTAGTAATACACTACTTCGAAGTATCTTAGCTCTGCCCAAAATATGGCGACAGTGTTACAGTGTGTTAAGCGGCTACAGGGATGTGCAACACACCCCAGCACACCGAAACGGCAGTGTGTTAACCCTGTGAACCACACGTCACGGCAAATTTTGTCGTCACATGAAATTGCAATGTCATCATAGCGCATGACGTCATGTGGTCCACGTGGTCCATGCATTTCTGTTTCATATTGCTCGTGTGTGTTGCATTTCCTTGTGACAGTGTGCTCAAGTGACGAGCGCCCTACATTGTGACGTTGGTTGACATCAAGGTGTCTTATGAGATGGTGACGTATAGTTACAATTCGATGTCATGTGACCGTGACGTCACATGACATTGACGTCACGCGACTGTGACGTTCTTGACGTTATGATGTCACGTGACTCTGATATCATGGGACATTCTGATATCACATTACATGTGGACATCACGTGACACCGTGACGTCGTATGAGTGTGAGGTCACGCGACACCCCAAGCAGCACGGATTTTGGCCAAGCAATGGCCAATGGCTGGGGATGGTTTTGTGGCCAGTGGCCAAAGAATGGCCATTCATTGGCCAATGCTTGGCCAATGGCTGATGGCCAGTGGCCTTTGGCCAATAGCCAGGGAAATGCCAGTCATCGGCCAAGCTCTTGCCACTGTCTGGCCACTGGCCAAAGGACCATGCTTGGCCAACTCTGTGCTGCTTGGGACCCTACTATCATGTAGACTTGGGCCTATCTCAATTACTTTGCTTAAGATACTGTATTTTTAATACTTTTGGTAGTAATTCGGTATTTTGCAAAGCACATTTGATCGAAAATATTTGCTACTTTAACTTAATTACATTTCTCACTATCTTGTACTCGTTTACTTGAATGCATTTTTCAATCTTTGAAAACATTTGTCACTCAAATATTTTTTGGGGAATAGGAATAGGAATAGGGATCATGTAAAAATCAATGTCCGATTGCAAGCTTGAAACTTTACTACCAAAAGTATTAAAAATGCAGTATCTTGAGTAGAGTAATTGAGATAGGCCCAAGTCTGCATGATACTAGAGTGTCACGGGACGTCACACTCAGGTGGCACGTGATGTCTCATAATTTATGAGCCAGGCTTTTGGTAACATATCTTAAAATCTTTTGTTGAGTATGTTGCCCAACACTAGTATCGCATAACACAGTGACGTCTCATAACATTATGACCTTTCATCACATAATGACTTCACTTGACTTTGACGTTGCAAGTCACATGACAATATCAGCGATGGACGTCCTCAAATGGACGTCCGTCGTTGCTATCGTTTTACATGATTCCGATTTGGCAAAGGGGAGAAGAGCCCAAAACAGCTATTGCTGAAGAAAAAAGTAACAGAAAACATAAAATGTGTAAGACAGGGAAATGTCACTATCCACGCATCTCTACGAAAAAGGATTGAATTCAATCAATCAATCAGCGTTTATTTCAGCTTGAAACACAAACTGAGGATGGTGAGAAAAAAACAGTGTCATCCACTCCTTGACGGGCCTCGCCACCCTTACAAGTTGGAAGCGTAGTTGCGGTAAAAATGAAATATAAAAAAATGAATAGTACAGACAAAATGAGAAGTGCAGACAAATGATAGAAAAGTGTTCCTAAGGATAGAAGAAGACATATCATTCAAGTGATCACATAGAAGCGTATTCAAAAACTTAGGCAAGATATATCGTAAAATTGTAATTGTAAGCATTGTAAAACATTGTTGCTGTTTCACTGATTTGGTTTCTCTACCTGGCACACAGCTGGGCATCGCACTTGGATTCCTCGTCCCTCCGCACATGGTCATGGACAGCGAGAACATAGAGGAGCTTGGCCAAGGTCTGAGTCGGCTGTGCTATGCTGTGGCCATCTTCAGCACCATCGTGCTGGCAGCCATTGTCATTGGTGAGATGCCGAGACTACAGCGCTACGGAGGGGCGGAGCCCTTGTTACACAACAGTATTTGTAAATCTGCACAATAGTGAGAGTGGCAGGGTGTGTCTTTCAAATGCCCGGCCTCCAGCACATGCTCCCTGCCTTTTGTTTTGCTTTGGCTGTGCACGCACGCCCCAAGTGCACGAGAGTTTAAAGTGTTGTCGAAGGTAGGAAGCTCGCGCTGGGGGCGGGACAACTGAATCTTGTCCCTGCTATTCTCACTTTACAGTGATTCTATTAGCCTTAAGACCCGTTCACACTCTTGCAACAGAGTGCGACCAAGAGAGACGAGACCTGTTGAAACCTCTTAAGATTTCTTAGGACTAGGGAACACAGTGTCATTCTGGCGGCGTCTATGCGGTGACCCTGGAATTGCATTTCACAAGAGCGAAGGTTCTGCGGGATTTCCGAGATCAAATGCGCGTAATACCTATAAGAAAGGCTCGTTTATAAAGTAGGCAAGAGTTTTTCGAGCCAAGAAAGAAAAGATAATGCGCGAGAGAAGTAGAAAATATGCCGGACCGCTAAGTTTACACGGCTACTCAATAGGTGGCGCCAGTGTGTCTTCTCGTAAGAGGTTTCAAGGCACTCAGCTCTAAGAAGTCGCAAGAGTGTGAACAGGCCTTTATAGTCTGTTGCAGGTTAAAAAACTGGGAGAAGCTCCTTCCACGAAGCCCTCCACTCTTTCCACTTTAGCAGAGTGAACACTGGAGAGGAGGCGAGTGGAGAGGAGGAAAGCACCAATCTTGGCGAACGGAAAGCTTTATTGGTGGGGTTTGTTCCGCTTCTCTTCACCCACAACAGACTGTATGGTAACTTGTTTTTTTCCAACAGTCGGGAATGAAACAAGGTCACGTTTCAGATCAGGCTACCTATTATCTTCAGAATTGTTCAATGCTGCGCTTATGCAATAATTGCCGTTATGCACTGTGATTATTCGAGTAATGGATGCACCATTTATGAATGACACTTATACGTCTACTTTCGCATGGAGCACGCATACGGCCGTAGGTACCGTGACATATAGATATCTTTTTTAACACAGAATGTGTTATATGGCTGGCACTTAACCATATCCAGTTAGGTGCCAGCAAGGGAGGTCGACCGGCCGACTACCAGACTAAACACTCGCAGCGCTCGGCTCCACTGATCGGCCACCAGTGCCAGCCGAACCTCTTCCTCGAGTGCCTTCATTATACTTCTGGTGGGGATAAACAATCACGTGTTCAGGCATTCAGCGGTTCTGTGCTCCGTGTAATGAGCATGCACTGGACTTTCATGGAGAAAGAGTGCAAGAGAGAGCTGCAGAAAAGAAAAGCAAAGAAAGCAGACGCTCACTTTACCTTAACGGGTTGAGGTATTGTTTGAGTGCTTGGTTCTCTTTTGCTGCAACCTTGTGCTAGGGCTTTGCTCGGCGGTGCTGCATTTCAATTGTCCCTTTTCTGCACACTCCGTCTGCTGCATCTCAAACTCCAACAGGCTCTGAGAAGGTTGCATTTACACTGCAACCACAGAAGGTTCCACCCACAAGTAAGACATCCACGGAGCACTCACGCGCTTACTTTGCAAGACTCCGCTTCATGCCATCCAGTCTCCACATGTCTGCACAGTTTCCCCACACTAACACATTACATTTTGTGTTACCACGGCCTTTGCGACGCTAGTACGAGTCTCCACACGTCTACCCAGTTTCCTCACATTAACACATTACATTTTGCTATCATGGCCTTTGCGATGCTAGTACAGCAAAGGGGCAACTTCGTTTCATTAATCTATTTGCTTCTTTTGTCAATTGCAGTGATTTATTGACTGTCCGCATACAGTCTAGCTTATTACAACAGACCTGGTTACAACATATATTTGGATATAACATACCGATTTGTGAAGTTCAGTTGGTTTTCCTCTACATACCATTGACTCAACTTCATATCTGCATACAACATACTCCCTTTACAATAGACCAAAAACTTGGTCAAAGTCAAGGTCTGTTATAACGAGCTTAGATTGTATTCTGCAGAGACGTAATCACCATAAAATACTGAGCATGTACCCCCGTCGCGACAAGCGGCCACACCTGTTTTTGACACATATGAAATATAGACAAGGGACATAGCAAGTGCCAATCCCAGCTAACATCTGAGCCCACTAAGCTGACTGAGGTGCTCCTCTGCTTCGGGTGTTTCGTGCAAAGCAGTCAAGCTTCATGCGTGTGCGTCGGTGCTAAGTGGTAAAGCTTAACGTGAGGGCTGGGGTGCCAAGCAGGCTTGACAGGAACAGTGCATCTCCTTTAAACATAAAAAGTTATGTGAAGCCGTTGAATTGCTCCTACATCATGTTATTGGATCAAACAAGGGCCTACCGTGCCATGTGCCCCTTTTGCTTTTAATGCGAAAGCATTAACTGTCCCATGGAGCGAACCGACGTCATCAGCTTTGAAGCCGCGCCAAACGCCACTTTAAATCCTTTCTCCAAGTGAAGCCGGCTCTCAGCTATAAAACCACGCAAAAAGACTAGACAAACGGCATTTAGTTTCCCTGATCCCAAAGGAGCAGAGTGAAGCTGATGGATTTCGGCTTTGGTCCCATTGGCTGTTGCGCGTCCCAGTTTCAAGGAACGAGGCTTTCATTGGCCACTGCACGTCAGTTTCAACGACTGCCACCCCATGGCGCTGCGTGTCCGCGCCGTCAGCGCGCCGATAACACGAAGCGTCCAAGGTCAGAGCAGCAAGGAGAGAGCATGTTCTTCCTTCGATGCAAATATGCCGCAGACAAAATAAGGAAGCAGAAGAATGATGTGCATGCTTTCGCATTCACAACTCATAAGAAGTGCTTAGGTGTATCTTCAGCCTTTTCTGCTCTTGAATCTAACAAGTGCCCATTCTTTTTTTTTTTTTTTTTTCAATTATTTTTTTCTGGGGCACCAATTGCTTGCTCATTTACAGTGTTTAGGCTTTGTTCAAAAGCAAGTTGCCGATCAGTGCTTTTACTTTTACAGTGCTTTTACTTGCATGGGTGACTTTAATCTGAACTCTCCAAGCAAGACAGTTCTTGACTTGGCACTCAGCGGAACACTTGCCTTGCTTAAGATAGTTAGCATACCTAAAGTTTTGGCACTCTATTCCCCGATTGCCTCGTAGGTGCCGCCATTTAGGTGCTTATGTAGGGTGGCCGCAGTTGGCAAGGTTACGGTTTGGAAATGCACCTTCCTAAGCTTTAGATACCGTGTCGGAAGACATGGGCGACATTATCTTTCTCTGCTGCCGAGTGTTTCAGCATTTCTGGAGGGTGCAAAAGTGTTTCCTGCAATTTCAGGTAATATTTTGGATGGCTGGCAACAATGACAAAAAAAAGCCAAGATGGCTGCTGGCGTTACTTTGAAACATAACATGTTTAGTGGCTCTAAGCATACCGTGTCACTGTCCTTTCAAAAGCAGTCGGTCATCCTGTTCTGTTTTCCATGCAGGCATCCGCGAACGACCCCCGCGCCCACCGAGCCGCGCCCAGGTGAGCCGGGAGGAAGGGGAGACCGCCGGTTATTGGCGCTCGATGGCCAACCTGCTTCGGAACTGGAACTACGTCCTGCTTTTGGTCACCTACGGTGGGTGTTCAACTCTAAAACATTTCGTTTCATTGCAGCATTCGTTAGAGGGATGGGTGGCCGAGTGCATAAATGCACCACTGCTCAAAGCGCATGGAGCAAAGGCTTACACTGCAGATCCCAGGGATTCTGAGCTCAATTTCGACTCCTGGCTGTTTCAATCCAGACAGGCATCGTACCAATGTGCAGTCGTGTGTCATGACTGCGTGTTGCACAATAAAGACCCCAGGCTAACAGTGGTACTGCACTGGCCGAATTTCTCATTTGCAGGTTAGACACCAGACGCTGATTACGGCTGAATAACTTCGGTTGTCAAGAAAAACACACAATTATTTGTTTGCAAAACTGCACCTGTTATGCGAACGTCAAGATCTCAAACTTGCCACCTGGACGTTTATGTGGCAGCACGTTAGAGACTAGGTGCTCTTGCGTGTGGTATACCTCTTGTTTTACAGTGAGCGTTTGTTGTGCCATTCATTGTTTTTGGGATAAGATGTTCCCTACATGAGCGCTCTTATATGACTTATCTGATGTTATGTTTAGTCGTTTGTTCCTTGAAACATCCTGTTTAGCGTAAACTGAAGCAGTGGCTTTTCCTCAGCAGGAGTATGGGTCCTGGTCTGAAACATTCAAGACCAGTACTAGGAATGTGCAGCATTACAGTGCTTATTCTTACATAGTGAACTTATGATAGAACACTATAATGTGGTATGTTATTCCTACATTTTATGTGCAGTACATCACAGGGAACAAATAATTAAAAAAGACGTCTTTAAACGAGGTTTTGTGACACATTTGGGGATTCTTTTTTTTTTACCTAGAAGGCATCACTTGTAGCTCATATTTTGTAACCCTAAATTAGACCCCTTGTTAGAACAGTAAAGAACATCAAAGCAAGGCCAAATTGTATGAAGATTTTTGCCAATTTTTATGCCTTTGACTTTTCAACTTCACATTGAGAGGAGCTGTCAGTTAATTCAGCAGCAACAAATTTTGTAATCATTAGAGTCGTAGAGCCATTTTGTGGCTGCTGGCCAAAACCCAGATTGTAGTGCATAGCAGAAGGTGGAGTTTAGAACTGAAGCTGTGAGGGCTTGGCAGATTAATGCTGAGAGCACGAAGTCGCTATGCTGAAAATCATAGCCAGATTGGTTGGCCTTCCTTGCCTTTCTGCTCCTAAAAAGTTCTTTGTACGGTTTATACTGCTGTGTTTTGAGAAAGACCGGAATTTAGAATAAAACAAAATTTGTTTTGGTGTATTTTTACTTGACAGCTATGTCAAGTAAAAAATTTGTCTCTATTCTAGTGGTCCCCCAGGGGGGGGGGGGGGGGGGGCACTAGAATAGAGTCTTATTCTAGTGCCCCCTGTGGCCTGCGGCGCGGACTTGTGGGTTGTGGAGCCGGTACAGAATGGAGGGATTGTTGTCATGGATGCTCTTTGCTCGCTTCGTTTTGACTAGAAGCCACATACAAGGGCACCATTTTCTGCCCCATAGTGCCCACTACAAACGTTTTTAATCAAGATTTCATCTCGTGGCTAGACCATAATGACGTCAAGTGTCAGTTCTCCAACTACATTATGCACCCCCAAAATTAAAATTTAAAAAAGCTACCTGAATCATTTTAGTTAATCAACTAGCTAACTGACTCATTTTTGCTCTTTTCTAGCGGTTCCAATGAGTACAAACTTAGCCCCAGAACTAAAAGAACCTTCACTCTAGTTCTTTTTATATAAAATTCCAGTCCCACTAAAAACAAACACCATGTATATCACTTACGCAGGTTTTCAGCCCTTTTTGGCCATCTGAGAGAAAAACACTACAGTCGAATTTCGTTATATTGAACAGTGCGATTACCATGAAATAACTGGTAATGACCGAAATTTGGCATACAAAATCGCACCAAAAACACGCCAAAGCGTAGCGCGATTTAATTCCTAAAAAGCTAGCGGCAAAAATGGCTAGGTACTCACAAGAAGTATTAGGGTGAACTCTTTATTCCAGCGAAGAAAACTGCCGCATCGTAGACTGCTTCATGGAGTTGACCGCATATCTTATTACGGCCCGTTCCATGGTCTCCAAGCAGTCCACCAGCACCAGACCACTAGCGTTTATTGCGCTGCATAGCGGCATAAAAGCGCCAAAGCGTCCACAGCTTTGCCGAAAGTCGGGAGAGGGACGAGGTCCTCGGCGTTTGAAGGGCCAGGTGCAGTAGCCACCTCCTCTGGAGCCAGCTCGTGGGTGACCTCTGCGGCGATTTCCATGTCGGCTAGTTCGGCTGTGGTTCCTGCCTCTTCATCATCACCGACAAAATCGTTGATGATCATGCCCTCGGGTACAGCACCCTCAAAATGTGAAAATTCCGTCCACGTTTCGTTGAGCGCAGGTTCTTCAAAATCGTCAGTAGCTCCATCTCTCTCGGACACTTCCTCGGTGCCGACGACAAACCCAGTGTGCCAAAAGCAGTTGGCAATCATTTCCTGCTTTACATTCTCCCATGCAGCTTTAAGTATATGGAGGGCACCTAAGAGGTTGATCTTGAGGTCTTGGCTCATCTGCAGCTTGAGGAGCAACGTTTTGATCAGTCTTCGCTTATGAACAGCCTTGGACGTTCGAACTATACCCCAATCTAACAGTAATGTTTGGAGGTGGGCTAGTCGGTGATGCATTGTAAACATAGAAATAAAACAGTGCAAACAAACACAAGGACAAGTAGAAGGAGGGACACAGACACAGCGCTGTGTCTGTGTCCCTCCTTCTACTTGTCCTTGTGTTTGTTTGCACTGTTTTATTTCTATGTTTACAACCCAATCTAACAGCTGTAGTTTTTATGTAGTGTTTGGCGGCAGGAACTTTAGCTCTGTTCTTGAGTGGCACATTTGTGTGGTGTGCCAAGCAATTGTCGACAAGGTGGCTTGCCTCGCGACCCTGGTCTGCAAGCTCCGTGTCCCAATTCTCAAACCATTTTTTAAAGATATCGCGCATCATCCATGCCTTCTTGTTCCATATGTATGTCAGGGAAATATGGCGACGGTTGCACACACAGTTCAAGGTCTGAAACTTGCCGACGACAAGGGGTCGCAGTTTAGTGCTGCCATCCATGTTGGGGGGCCAAGAGAACTGTGATGCGGCCTTTGTTTTGCTTACCGCCATGACACTTCTCCCCGTGGGTGTTGAGTGTTTGTTGTGGAAGCATCTGCCAGAAAAGGCCTGTCTCATCAGTGTTGAAGATTTGCATTGACTCATACTTTGCAAGAACGTTGGGCCACTCTTGTTCGAGCCACTTTTTTATGCCCTCCATATTGGTGTCCTTGCTTTCTCCCGAGACCGTCTTCCCGACAGTGTCGTAACGGGCTTTGAGACGTTGTAGCCACCCGCTATTTGCGGTGAAGTACTCTGCTTGATGGACAAACGCGAAGCCCTTGGCTTTCTGTTGAAGAATCGGCCCGGACAGTGGAATGTTCCGAGACTTTGCGTCCATAAACCACTCGTGCAGTGGTCTTTCCACTTTTTTGAAGGCCGGTATTCGAACACGGCATGCGCCAGAATGCTCACTGTGTTCAGCCTTCGATTTGATGTCACTTATCGTCTTCAGCAGCATGTTCTAAGTGCTTCGCGGTATGTTGTACTCTTCGGCAACATTGGACTTCTTTTCTCCTTTTTCAGCGCGGCGGATGATCGTTGCAATCTTCGGTGACATACGTTTTCTTACGTTTTGTCGCCATCACTATGCTACACACGGTTGACGGAGCGTCGGAGGAACAAAAGCACGCAACTGCGGGAGCTGTGTAACAAGCACATGAAAAGAGTGATATGACTGGACAGACTGAGCCCATTCGAGTCAAAGACAGCAACTGAGCCGTCTGCGTATGCCGCTGAGTCTGGATGGTGCTCCCAACACCGAAGGCATAAAGCCTTAAGCAAGGACACATGAGTGATGAAAGTGGGCAGCGCACGGCAGCGCGTGCCAGTATCTATGGCAATCGGTGGTGGTGTCCCTACGTCACTTCCGCGCGGTGCCGCTTTGCTCGGATCTGGTCGATACAAATAAAGTTGCACAGTGTGCCTGTAATGCGCCTAGCGACATGCGGCGAAAGGTGCGCGGTGCCCAGTTTCACCGCTCATGTGTTTCATGCTTTATGTAGGCATGTGCTTCTGAAAGTCACAGACGCCTACTCTGCCACCGCTATGCTCCGATCTGTTACTGGAAAGCCGACCATATCCTCCGATGCATTGCGGAGAACCCTGCTACCTATCTCTGGAGCATACACTTTCCGGCGCTGTGGAGTTTGATTATTAATTTTTTTACCGACCGAGTTTGATATAAAAAATTTAAAATGCATATATTTCTTATGGCAATTTGACAACGATTCGATAAAGGCAATGATTCTATATATCCATTTTCGATAAAATGATGTTTGACTGTATATCTTTTATTGATGTGTTTTGTGTATGTGATGCTGATTCCAGAGTTGGTTACATACTGTTTACGAGGTGTTGTTTCGTTACGCAGGGATTAACGTGGGAACCTTTTATGCGATCTCAACGTTGCTCAACCAAGTGGTGCTGCCATACTTCCCCGTGAGTGACTCTATTGTTGTTTGGTTCTTTGTGCTTAGATGATATATGCATCAGCTGTATGATGTCAGCAAAGTGAACGTATGCATATACGTCGTTGCATAGCAGTTGGAAGAGTTAGGACAATAATTATTGACCAGGAGGGGAAGAATTCATTGCATGGCCAAATGCCACAATCAAATATACCTACAGTTTTCTGATTGTTATCACAATGTGTTTTCTTGCCTCATATTGCAACATATATCATTAATAGAGTTTTTTTTTTCTAGTTGTGTTTCTATCTTATGGCCAGTAATTTTAGAGTGCTCAAAGTTTGTTGGCTACCGAATCACTTGGCAAATGTAAGAAAGTCTATCTTGTTTTGACTGGGGACAATAGGAAGGTAGAACAAATGTGAGGAATTGGTTAGGAAACAATGTTATTTTATGTTGCTGACAAGTTTTAGTGGGCTCTGCAACAAGGCAAAGAAAGACTGGAGTGGCGTCTGTCAGGAAAAAGAGTTGCCAGCAAACAATACATTATATACCTTATTCGAGTACAGAACACAAATAGTTAGCCTCAACTTGCAGTTGTAAGTTTTTCTTATTTTTACCTTATGGCTTATAATGATAAAAATTAATAGTGTAGTTGGATTTACTAATTTAGGGCACCGATGTAGGTGGCAACATTTATTGTTAAATGCTAGGCTGCATTAGTCAACTGTGAGAAAGCACAATCATGCGTTCATGCTGTGCACCTTGTGATACCAAGAGCCATAACTCCCAGAACATTTGCAAGCAGGGTGCTGTTAAATTGGCAGCTATACATGTGGTGTATGCCAGCTTTCATAATTCTGAATTTCTCTTAGCAGTTAACTTAGATACAAGGGCTGTTTTTTTTTCAAACTCAGTAAAAAGAGATGAGTGATCAAAAGTGTTTTGATATACTCGGTAAAACTTAGGTGCATACTCTAGCTGCATCCCTTTCTGATTGCAGCATTGATTTGGGCACTTATCATGAAGTAGCATAAGCTTTCTGATGCACTCCTCATAAAAGGTTACTGCCTGGGTTCCTATAGGTTCTCTATCATTCCATCCCACGTTCAACAAGCCCATCAAGTAGCCACAGACATTCTTTTCTGATCTTCATCGTTATGGACGTCTGTTTGTCCCTATCGAACATTTATGCAGTTTCCTCCGTGCACATTACATGTCAGCGGTGACTGACAGTCTTTTTGTTGCGAGATGGAATGACTAAGAATCAGCGCGGCATCCTTCTTGCAAGAGGGCATCCCAAAAGCTTGTGCCACGTCATAATAACTGCCTTAATATCTGTGGTGATTTGGTGGAGTAACAGGTAGAATGCGTGTCTAAGTTTTATGTATATTAAAACATTTTCATCCCTCTCGTTTATTTTCATCCAAGCTCATTAGGGGTTGAAAAATACAACCCCTGTAAGCAAAGAAATGATAGAAAACATAGAGTCGAGTTGGTCAACAATTAGCACTGTGTGAACCGAAGTCTGAGGAACAAACGAAGGGACGTAATTACTCTGCTTGGCAAACAGCAATGAAAAGCTGCCTGCCCCATGTTTAGGCAAAACTTTGATTTCCAAAAAGAAAACAGTTTAACATCGCCTGCCTGTTAAAAGTAGTCGTTACAGACTGCCTCTAACTCCAAAAAGTTATGCGAGAAAAAAAAAGGGAGCAAACTTTGAAAAGTTTATGAACAGGAAATAAAAAGTGCCTGATTAATTCAGGAAGAGAGAGGCTAGAACATTAAGCATGTTTCTCTCCCGTTAGAACAAAAGTTGCAGAAAGCATTGCTTGCAGTTGCTCAGTACCATATACTTCTTTTCTGCATACTTTGTTTCTAATCATATTCTTTGTAAAGTTCAGCTTTTGTTACTCTAAATTTTTTATGAACTTTTTATGGCTCAACACAGAAACATCGCCCTCTCCTCCTTGTTCATGAATTATACGTTGCTTCGGGGTGGGCATTGAACCGAGGTACTACCGTGATAAAGAGTTTGAATGCACACAAGAGGCACCTGCCGAATGCCATGCACCAACCAAACTACTAATGGCATGGTCAAATTGGCGCTTTTGTCATTCTGACCATGCTATTCTAAAGTGCCTCCATACTCAACCCCACCCCAGAGTGAATACGTCAGTGAATTTCCAATTGAATAGTTGAGGGATTAGGCATTTTAATAACCCAGTGAATATTTTGGTAAATAGGCGAGTGAATAGGTCAGTACACTCCAGTGAAAAATGAACTGTCTCTGGTATTTCCCAAGGGTGTTATAAATGCATTGTATTTGTAATGCCTTTGCTCACATCCACTCGTACCACAAGTCTGTCGCACGCATTACACGCCGTGCCAAACGAATTGTCCATAAACTGGTGCTTGACCCGCCGGTTGGCCACCGTGTAATGGCGACTGGCATCCTGTCGCCGCTGGGCTTGGCTCTCTAGTTTTTCTGACGCATCCCTCGCTCCTCCCTCTCCACCCTGCTGTGCCCGCCATTCTCGCTCCTGCGCCACTTTAGTGGCACACAAAGCCCTTGAGCAAGAGCCTTAATGATATATTTAGTCCGCTTTGCTGCTGCCAAGTGCTGATGAAAGTGTGTGCTCCAATAGGAGTCGCTGATAATCATGTGGAGCACGCAATCGAAAACAGCACGCTCTGATCAGCATGCTGTATCGATGCTTCATGCACAACATGAAAACACTAGACGTGACCCTGTAAATGCTATGCATTTAGTAAATAGAGTGTATTCATTATCCAGGGCCAGGGAGAGAGTGTGGGCTGGCTGGGCCTGTCGCTGGTCATCTCGGGCATGGCTGGTTCGGTGCTGTGCGGCGTGGTGCTGGACAAGACGCACCGCTACAAGGAGACGACGCTTGTCGTGTACGTGCTGTCCCTGGCTGGGATGCTGGCCTACACCTTCGTTCTGTCTACCTCCACCCTCTGGCCTATCTTCCTTGTCACCTGCCTGCTCGGGTGAGTAAGATCAACGATCGTGTTCCGCGTTTGTTTAGATGGTGAGAAGTAGGTCAGTCCCAACGGGCATTTGGTGTCTTTGCTGTAGATGAGGAATTTATTCGGTGCAGTACCATCGCTAGCGTGGGGTCTTTAGCACGCTGTAGGAGTATGCAAACAGAGTCCGGTACGACGTTCGCCCAGATTGAAAGAGGCAGGGGTGGTGTAAAGTAGTTGGGTTGTGTGCATTTTCAGACAGTGAAAAGTTAGTCAGCCTCACTGCGCGTCCTGTGTCTCTGCAACAGATTAGAAATTTGGCTGGTCTCAAATATCCCTGCTAATTTGTGGTCTTTAATGTGCATCATGCTATAGTTACTATGCAAACATACAATGGTTTGATGCTAATCGACATCAAAACAGGCAAGGGTGGGGGAAAGTGACTGAGTTGTGTGAATGCTTGGATGGCGGGAAGATAGTTAGCCCCAATGGCTGTTTAGTGTCTGCTCTAGATGATACATTTAGGCAGCGCAGTGTCACTGTTAGGCCGGGGTCATGCCTCACGCAGTAGTGACACACAACCGCAAGCCGGTGCGATGCTCATCCAGATCTAAACGGCCAGAGGTGTGGATTTAACCCACGATGCCTGGGTTCTGCAGCGAGAGCTTTCTCCCCTAGTGCTCCGAGCTGCAGTGCGGTAACACACTCTCCTGTCGAACGAGTGCGCACAGTAGACACGTTAACCACTGGAGGGTTGTTCACACATTTCCATTTGACTGTGACCGCTAACAACGAGACACCACGCTGGCACCATATACAGTCGAACCTCGATATAACGAACTTCAATGTAACGAAATTCTCGATTTAACGAAGTATTTTATTTTTCATAATTTCTTGCCCATAGACCCCATGTATTTTTGGTCCCTATATAACGAAGTCTATTTTGCTGCTATTTCAATATAACGAAGCGCCATTGCCATAGAAGGCAATAAATAAATCAACTCTAAAAAACAACTTCGCAAAAAAATTGTGGTTAAAAAAAAAAAATTATGCGCAAACGCGAGCGCTTGATAGGTTACTTCACGGGGACAGGCCTTCCAACGTTCCTAGGCTGCCCGAGGATGCGGCGCCGGTAGCGCCGGCGAGGCATGCGGCAAAGCGGATTCCGCGAGGCTGGCCAGAAAATGCCGAGCAAAAAGTTAACACGGCATAACAGCATCACCACTGACATTCACTGATCATCATAGTCCACTGTACCGCGGGTAGCGCGGGAGCCAACTTCAGCGGGGGAGCGACGTGATGGCGCGACCGCGCGACCGCACGGGCAGTGCCATCTAGGAGAAGACCGAAAAGACCGATTATCGTCTTGCGAGCGTGATGTAAAGCAAAGGCGCAAGCACACTGTGGGCGCAAGGGGGCAAGTAAACTGTGCGGGCAAGAGTGCTGTGTAGGTTGGAAACATTGGCACCGCCTAAACTAAACAGCTTTATTTTTTAACCGGGCGGTTCACTTACGTGCTTGCTGCCATAAGGAAACGTAAAGTTCTTTCTTTGGATGAGAAAGCAAACGTTTTAGACGCCATCCGGAAGAAACTGCCGAGATCACGAGCACTCGGGAAGTGCTCAACGCAATGGACGTACTGAGGAGGTACACGGCGTCGCATGGGCAGCAAGATGCCGTGCAAGCGCTCTGGGCGCTCGAACGCCGTATGACGCCGCCGACGCCGCTGCTACTGTCGGACAAGGCGCAAGCAAAACTCGCGGACTACTTTGCCCCTAAATAAATGTCATTTTCGGTGAGTTTTCATACCCGTAAAATGTTTCGGAATTTTTTTTTTTTTCGCATGCTAAAGCCAAATTTCGATTTAGCGAAATTTCAATGTAACGAAGTAAATTGCGAATTTTACCGACTTCGTTACATCGAGGTTCAACTGTATTGGGAACCCTGAAACATCATCGGTTCTCACTTATTTTCTATTTTTTTATGCAGAATGGTTTTACCTCGAAATACTTCTTGACAATGTCGTAAGCGACCATTTCTCGTAGATAATGTGTAGATTTGATTTTGCACATACTGCGAAACCTTTGGCATGGTTATATAGATTTCCAGACTGCTCGGCAGGTGGTGCCGGCGTGCCAGTGGGTTTCACTGATCCGTGGCGTGTTTCCTGTCGTGAGCACTCGCAAGAGATCCGAATTCACTTGGTCACAGTGAAATGCAAATATGTGAACCGGCCTCGAGTGTGTCCAAGTACATTGCATTTCCTCATTACTGCTTACATCAAGAGATCACTAGTGTAGCTATATTTTGGAGTGTTTCCATCTTATTGACCAAGGTCACGCGATTTACCAAGCCACACTCGCAGTACGAGCTGCGAGGGGGAGTCAAAAGCTCCGATCGTCTGCAAATGTCTCCGATTTTCCACCCGCTTTACTTCTTGCCCCATAAAGATGCAACGCACATGCACTTGAAACCGACCTGTGCAAGAGGGCTTACGCCCTGAAATTGCAAACGCAATTCATGATTTCGGTTGCTTCCTTTTTTACATCTAGGCTCTCTAGGAACACTCTCGCATGCTGACGTTACTCTCGGGTATTTCTCGAATCCTTCCAATTTGCTTATAACTGGACCAACGTCTCGCCAGTATTTCCAAGATCAAACTAATGCATTACACATGAGAAATGATCATATAACATTGTCAGAAATATTTCCAACCCACAGTCAAAGAATGATGAAAAAGCTATAAAAAAATTTATATAGTACTCAGTTTGTAAGTGTTTCAGGGCTGACTTACAGATGGTACCAATATGGCAGTGTGTTCTCTCGTTAAGTAGCTACAAGAGAACCTAATGCTCTTGAGCACACTCAAATGCAAGTGTGTTAACCAGCCACCTTCAGATTCATGTCCAGAGGTTATGCATAAATTTTTATATTGTAAACAGAATGGCAATATTCAAGCTTTGGCTGGCATGCACTGTATCTACACTTTTCTGTAACATGAACACCTAGGGTGTTCCACAAAATATTTGCAGTGTTTTTTTAATTGCAAAAATTGACTTTACATTGTCAAATGCTCAGTTTCTGCCAAAATGTAGCACTAGTGGTCAGAATTAGATGCCAAAGTTTCAGAACAAGCCGTTATCACATTTAAAAGTTAGAGACAATTAAAAATTTTCAATGTTAAAATGATGGCTGACAATGGCCACAAATACATGGGACTACAATGCCCACAAATACATGGACAACTCGTCCTGGCGTCTAGGGCTACATTTGGGTGGATACTGAGCTTTCGGCGAAAGCATTATTTAGTTTTGTAGTAAAGGAAGCCTTGTAAATTTTTTTGAGGGGACACGCTGCCAGAAGTCCCGAAGCTGACCCTAAAATCGGCGACTCATGAAAGCTCATGTGGGAAAACCAGAACGCAGAAACACTCGTCTGACAAAAAATGCTCACAGCTTTGCGAGAAACCTGCTCCACTCTTACGTGCAAAGGCACATTTCTGGAATTGGGGGTTCCGTTAAAAAGCGTTACACATTTTAAGGCGTGACGCTGCGACATGTGCTGTGCTTCCACGTGTTCACCCACCCTCCGGGGTTAATATATGTCCATGCTAAACCAGCTTGCCTTTATTCTTGCTTTAATGCAGCGATATCTTTCCCACGCTATTGGTGCCAAGCCACATCGCTGTACTTGGTCGTGCTATATTCTGCTGCATCCTGTTAAATTATCAGCAGTGTTGGCAGTAACATGTTACAAGTAACGACGTTACCGGTAACAAGTTACTTTCGGTAATGTGGTAATGTACTCGTTACGTCTCCAAAACAGTAGCGGGTAACATTTATGTTACTTAATTCGAGTAACGGGTGACATAGTTACGTTACTTCTTACCTCTTCCTCCCAATACTTAAAAAAATTGCACTCCAATTTTTTTTTTTCGTTTTTGAGCGACAAGTTAAGTAAATTTTTTAGTTTGTTTACAACTTTTTTGTGAGTATTAGGTGAAAACGTAAAAAAGATAAGGTAATTACTTTCAGTTTCTGCGTGAACATAATGTTTCTTGAGACATGGCACTTATACATACCTTTACAGTCAACTCTATATAGTATGTTAATTCATACATAAAATGTAATGCAAAAGCAATGTGCATTACTTTGTTTGGTAGCGGTAACAAATTCCTTTTACTTTGAGGTAATGTAGGACGATAACGTTTTCCTTTTATTTGCAAATAATGAGGAACATATTTTGTTACTTTTTCTTCGGTAGGGCCTACAAAACTGATTATAAATAATTTTTGTGAGCCTTCTGCCAAAAGATAATTGCCATCTTTTTCGACTGCGCTGACAGGTCATCATGATGGAATTCTGTAAGTATTCGAACCAGTAGGTGTCGATTAGAATAACTGTGAATTCACTTGTACTCTGGTATAGAATACTGATACTGGAACATTTCGTAATATATATATCTTTTACTGTTGGAAGTTTATACTCTGTTTCACCTTACGTTCGGCCACATTGAACGTGTGATGTGACCTTGGAGGGAGGGCACACTGACACGTGGAGTGTGTATCGCAAGCTACGTTCACATGTCTGGATTGGCTGGGATGGCTTGCAGCATCTGCTGTGGTCGGACGTAAGATGAAATGGTGTAAAGGGGGGAGAGTTAGCTCCATCGAGTGCACTTTCCATGTTGCACTGGTTTACTGCAGGTAACCTACATTCAGAGAGCGGACATTCTTCGGGTAGTGAGTTATCCCCATTAAGTGCTCCTCCCACATGGCAGCTGTGCACGGCAAGAAACCTACATTCGCGAAGCAGGCTTCTTTGGGTAGCAAGTTATCCCCGTTAAGTGCGCTTCCCACATGGTACCGGTGCACGGCAAGGAACCTACATTTGCAGAGCAGGCATTCTTCGGGTAGTGAGTTATCCCTGTTAAGTGCGCTTCTCACATGGCACCGGTGCATGGCAGAAAACCTACATTTGCAGAGCAGACAGTCTTTGGGTAACGTGTTATCCCCGTTAAGTGTG